TGGGCCAGTGTGTGTTGTGATTGGCAGCACTCGGCGCCTGGTCGGGAAATGTCATGAAACCACCATACCATGGAAACTACCATAACCGCCTGCGAGCTTCAGTTTAAATATTGCGTCAAAATCAAATCAATTTGAGCTCGATTTAAACCCGGATGATTGTAAACACTCTAAGTTCGTCTGCCTTGGGAAAGCTAGCGTGTCTCCGACATAGTGATAACACTCGTTGCCTTCTCTAGTGCAGCTCAACCAGGTCTCGTCCCATTCGTCGATATTTGTGATATCACAAATCCCGGAAAATATGCGTTGTAGTCCAAACGAGTCGTTCGTTGTAGTTTTTGAAAAGTGATTTCTGTTAAATAAAATATCTCCTTTGGAGTGGACTTTGAACTTTGTAACTTCGCAGATCTTTTTTATGCTCAAACAGCAACATTACAGACTAACTAAAGTTGAAAAAGTGAAAAAGCATAATAGGACCCCTTTAACAAAATCATCAGCAACTACTAGGGTGTGCTTGCCCATGCACATGTTGCCTTCAACAGGAGGCTGTGGGATTTCAAAGTATCATTTAAAGCACAGACAAACGATGCAGGGAATAATTTGTTAAACTGCTGAAATCATTAACCTCATGTATGAACAGTTTAGTGATGCTTACCTTAGCGAATACCACTAACGGACATCATTTCTGATCAGATTTAATCCGTTTCCTGGTAACGTTTTTTTGGGCCAAATAGTTTGAACAGAAGCAAACTTTTTACTTTAGGTTTTACATGTATTTACTTTTACCTAATTACTTGTTTTGATGTTTCTGTTTACCAGGTAAAAATGTTGTGATGCCAAATGAAGCCTAAAGTTTATGATTTATGAACTTGGTTACATTGTATAATAACTGTCATTAGTAATTCATTAAAACATCATATAGTGTTTGATCAACAGTTTTTGTATTTTCAAATATGAACAAAGGAAAATATAAAAAATCCAAGGATCATGGCATTTCTAGATATTTAAAGTATTGAATGAATTATCTATCAAACTAGGGATGTAACGATGAACCGCGAGCCGGTTGAAATCGATTTAAATATGTGACGATTCAAATCGGTTGAGATGCTAAACAAATCGCGATTCAGCTCGTCTGCTGTTTCGGTTTCATGCAGATATTTTTTATGCATAGTTTCACAAAACTGAAGTCAAAACATTGTTTTTGCTACAAATTTCTAAATTAAAAACTGCTCATGTTGCATGTATGCAGCATCTTTGTTTGGATCATGATTAAAATGCAGTGGTTGCCTCTCATTTTAAATGGAAAGAGCACAGACAAAGCCTTAGTTTGTTTATACTAAGATATTTCTTTTATTTGTGTTACTTATTTATTTGATTTGGGGCTTGTTTTAAAATTTCAATTTAGTTTTGTTATTTACATTTACATTATATTTAAATTTTGTTATTTAGCAAACGCTTTTATCCAAAGCGACTGAGGACAACAGAAGCAATCAAAACCAACAAAAGAGCAATAATTTACAAGTGCTATATTAGTATATTATTATAGCGTTAGCCTATATTTCAATTTCACAAAGAAACGTACAGTATTTTGTCCAAGCAATAATAAAAGGACACATTTAATTTATAATTTGTCTTGAATCTCATTTTGTTCAAAAAAAATTGTGAATCGAATCGAATCGTGAAATCAAAATCGTGAATCGTTACATCCCTATATCAAACATTATAGAATGTAATAAAACTCGTTAATGTTGCCAATGAAAATGACCAGGTTTATAAATCAATAACTCATAACGTCTTCATATTGTTTAAACATAAAACTTCCTGAATTTTGATGAGGTCACATATACACTGTATTTACACCTGGCAAGGCCCAGAATGTTTACTGATACGGACCAATCAGCTGCAGGCTACTCTTCAGCAACAGGAAATGAATTAACTACGTAACCAACTTTACTGGAACAAAACCGACTGCTGCAGAATGAAAGAAAGAGAAAGCGAGTAACTGTTTTCACACCTCTTTAGTGCCGTCTCTTCTGAGAGCGTCTTCACTTTTACCGCCACTTTCCTGCAGGAAACACACATGATCAGACCAACCCAATCATGAACACTAAATACTTCAGTGATGAGATTAAATGGAAAGCAAATGGAGACTTGTGCTTAAATCTCCAGTACATGTGTCTCCTCTAGAGTTTTAGAAGAGATCTCAAACATTTCTAAATACAATTACAATAAGATATAAATATTAGAAAAAATATATATTTATTTATTTATAAATGCTGCCTTGGCAACTAAATGAAGTAGGTTTAAGTTTAAGCACTGACATAACTAACTGAAAAAAAAAAAAGAAAAAAAAAACTGAACTAAAGACAAAACCAAAATAATAATTAATTAAAGCTAAATAGTAATATTTAATAATAATAATAAAAAAATTACAAAGCGCATAACAAAAAGACTTAACATGTAAAATTAAAATATAAAAATAAAAATGAATTGAAAATATTAATAAAACTATGACTGTATATAAATACAATTAAAATAACACTGATCTCAATATTAACATTTCTCAGCAAATTTCAAAAACTAAATAACAGTGCTATTCTAACTACATTCATTTTAGAGGTCCATAATCCTATTGTATGACAACTATTGACTCATTTGTGTCTATATTTTATTTCTCCAAAGGAACTTTGGGAGAAACATCTGAGATTTATTAATACTTCAATTGTTACTGAAACTCTCCGGAGATATGAAAGAGCAACATCTGAGCAGCTTGTCTCTGGTTTGGTGAGTGAATTCACAAGTCAGCGAATCAGGGATGAAATGATATCACTTTAAATAAATAATCAGCATTAATATTCAATCGCAGGCGGCAGTCTGGTGATGTAATTTAGTTGAACATGGAAGCACAAGTGAAAATCACACAGATTTCAGGATGAACTCAAACGCATCTTAAAAGAGACGCTTAGAAACCGAAGAAGCAGCACGTCTGGTCTTGACTTGACTTACCCTCCGTGTTCGTCCCGTGCTGGTCTGGTCTGGGCCGCCCCGTTTATTGTCCATATCAGCGTGAGAGGATGAGAAAGAGGAAGGAGGAGGAGGAGGAAGACCCAGACGCAGGCCTGCAGACCGATGGCCCACCGGAGAGCCGCTGCTGCTCTGAAATACACACAGACACAACATACACGATATACATCACATAAACACACTATAATCTAACACTATCTGTATGTACATGAAGAGTTTGGTTCCAAAACGCGATAAACGCCATTTAAAAAAAAATTTAGTTTCCGCCAAAATCAGTATTGTATCTGGTCGGTATTGAAAAGTCCATTTTTAATTTTACGCAAAATGCGATATCCGCCGTGTTATTCTGTCATGTTTTCTCCCGTTCTTTCCAAACCGTGACAAACGCCAGTCTCCCTTCTCTGCAGAATGCGATATATCCGCTCAACCAATCACAGC